GGATGGTATCTCCAACCCACCGGGCTCCAAGTAGAGTGGCTACCTGGATCTTAGATCAGCAAAATGCGTTGCTTGCCAGTGATGCATAAGAGGTAGTCGGTGCCATCATGGTTTTGTATGTGTCTCAAGCGCGTGTTTTGGCGAAGACCCGGATTTGGCCTTCTCGCATCCCAGGACTTGAGTTTTCCTGCTCACTTTCTGCAAAGTTCCTGGTTCAAGACAATTTTCATCCCGTCTTCTCACTCTTCCTCGCCCCGCCATAGCTCCGTGCATATTCGCGCAGAAAGCTGGACACTTTGTTGGTCCTGTCTGGTTGCCCTGGATGCTGCCCGGATTCGTCCCTTGCCCCACGCTGGCGGCCTCCAGACCTGTTGCGGACATGCCTGAAGCTGTCAATCATGACCTAGACCGGGACGACGACGATGCTGGTAATAAGGGTGAAGACCGGGTAGAAGAGCGGAGCTAGGATGCGGTTAATTAGTCGGTTGAGGAAATTGATCGGTGCCAGTGGCTCGAACTTGGGCAAGGATGGTTTGTGGGAGCGGTCTGGAGATGCGGACATTTGATCTGTCATTTGAAAAATGGTTCTTGGAGTCTGCAAGGCGAGCAGTATTCGAGGATGAAAGATGTCCCAGTGTGAAAAACATACATTGCACTGACGTCTTTATGAGCAAATCATTAAAGTCACCGCATGTCTAGTTTTCGTGACTTGACGAGGTATTGTCCATGAAATCCTAACATCTCACTCCGACAATCTGTTCCGTGTCTGCCCTACCGGCTTGTTCAAGTTCTCGCCTCGCCCCTAGACCTCGTACTTTGGGAGCAGATCTTCTGGAGGAATTGATGGTCTCCCATATCGGTGAATTCTTCCATTATTCTCGGATTTATCAAGTGTGTCTGGTCATGCCTCGGCTGCGATTTCATGAAGCGCGCTCCTCTCCTGTGTGAAGGTAATTGCGATTAAGCCTTCATCTCTAATTCCCTAAACTCTGTTTGCCACAGCCGTCTCTGTTGCATCTTGCTGATCAGGCAGGCCTGCTGCAGTCACCCGTTGACGCGTTGCCAGATCTCCACTGTGCGCTGTCAAGTGCGCAGCCTCCCATCCTTCATCTCCCACATATCCTGCACGGCCTACGCCCAGCCAGAACGCTCGATCGCGACTTCTCGCTCCCCAAGCCCATCCACTTCCTCCCTGAATCGGCAAATGATACCATCGGAATCCCAGCCAGGCGGTGAAAATCCCGAGGACTGAGCCCGAAATGATGTCGAATCCGGCGTGACGATTGTCAAAGTACCGTGACACTGAGATGAACATGGCGACGGCGATGGGAATAAATGCAATGATCAGCAGATATATCGGGGGAGCCGCTGCTTGATTTCGAGGAGGATGAGGCCGTTGGTGAAAAGAGGAGGTTATTGATTCTTTTCCTGATTGATCTTCCTCTTCATCGAACGCGGGAATGCGTCGCCCACTCTCGGAGTTTGGTGAGAGGAAAGGAATCTGGACGGCGAATTTGGAGCAGATGAACAGGGTGAGATAGAGCATGCCTGCCCAGCTGAAGCTCGAATGGCCCGATGGCCAACTGGCGAATGCATTACGCAGTCTGCTCTGGTCCGCGGTGCGACAGATATGCCAATCGACAACGATCGGGGTAGCAGAGTCTATAGATGTCCCCAGTCCGCCCACTTGGTATTTGCGGATGGCTTCAGGGCTCAAGTCCGGATCGCACACAGCGAGCAGAAAAGGTCGGGGTTTCCCAGTGAGATCCTTGAGCCCTTCGGTGATGACGAATGCCCCTGCAAGGGCCACTCCAAGACCCATCCATGCTGCATTCCATTCCCAGAGCTTTCTGCGCCAGATCAAAGCCTTGGCCGTTGATCGATGGGCCGTCGGGCCGGGGACGAAAAGAAGGGAGATGACAGCAGTGATGACTCCGGGTGCAATAACAGCCACGACGATCAGGACTGGGACGGTGACAGTATCATCATGGTAAGGAAAGGAGATATTTGGATCTTGAAGCGAGAAGGTATGTCTGTTGCCGTGGATTTGCGAGAAGGCGGCGCCAACTGCAATTGTAGCCCTAGTTGGTGGTCAGTTTTCCCTCCATGCTCAATCGTGTATGTCAGTGATCAATGCGTACCATATGAGAATCCAGTCGAGGACGTAGGAGGCAACAAGCCGCTTAGAGACGCGCCCAATGCCCGAGGTGAAGCTGTTCAGCGTCTTTGCGGGAGCGGCAGCCATTTGCGGAAATTGAGCACGCGACCGGCGGTACGTGTGCGCAGGCAATCAAACAGGGAAGAAACAGGTTGTTCAAGTTGTTGGAGAAGGTTGGGCTGGGCAGGTTACAGGGACATTTATTGTAGAATCCGTTCACGTACCCAACGTGTCCTGAAACAAAGAGCCGCTCAGGTCAGCTCGTCGCCGCATAGAGCGAGAGAGCACGCGTGCACAGTGTCTGGAAGAGATGCCATAAAAAGACGGTGGAAATGGGCAGGAATGGGCTTGGAATGGGTCAGAGCTCAGCTGGCCGACGTCATCAAATTATAATGACAATAATAATGACAAAGAAGGCGGAGCGTGGTTACGTCGCATCGTCTTACTCCAGTTCACCCGCCGACTGGTGAAGGTGAGTACAAGAACGCATCATTGCGAGGCTGTGCAATCCTTTGCCTTCCTACAGGTGAAACTCTTCGAGTGGCAACTAGAACACGCAGCCATCTCCCTCCATCCCAGGTTGCCCACACTTCCTGTGAACACGAGGAATAAGGGCCCTTCTTGCACAAAATTCCTGCCCGCATCGTCCCGCGTCTTGGATGGTCATAGACGACTTCTCATGTGCTCTTTCCATCGAGATCAGCAAAGAAATTCCACCCAAACGACTCGGACGGGTCATTGAACCTCAATTTCTTGTCCAGGCCGTCGATCTTCTTGATATCCTCGTCCTCCAGCTTGAAATCGCCCTCAAAATTCGCCTTGATGCGCGCCGGCGTCTTGGACTTGGGGATCACCGAGTGGCCCTTTGAGATCCCCCACGCCAGAGCCACCTGCGCCCCGTTCTTGCCGTACTTCCTCCCGATCTCCTTCAACACCGGGTCGTCGATCAGTTTGCCCATGGTCTTGCCTTTGTCGTAGATCTCGTTCTGGTTGCCAAAGGGAGAGTATTGCGTGATGTGGATGCCCTTTGATTTATGCCACGTCGAGAATTGCGCCTGGACCAGGTACGGATGCATTTCAATTTGATGTGCCGCGGGGATGATCGATGTTTCTCTCAGCAGTCTCTCCATTTCTGCATGGGAGAAATTACTCACGCCGATGGCGCGACACTTGCCCTTGGTGACCAGTTTCTCCATTGCGCGATAAGTTTCAATGTAGTCAGTGTCACCCGGGATGATCTTGTCGTCCTTCTTGGGCCTCATTTTGTCGCCTCGTGCCCACGGGCAAGGCCAGTGCATCAGGTAGAGGTCGACATAGTCGGTCTGAAGGTCCTTCAATGAGGCATCGCAGGCCTTCTCCACGTCATCGGGATGGTGCGAGTTGTTCCATAGCTTCGTGGTGAGAAAGATGTCGCTACGAGGGACGCCCGATTTTTGAATGCCTTTGGCGACACCCGGCTCTGTACCATATCTGGGAGGACTCAGCGCCAATACCATAGGTAGATCAATTGGACTGATAGGTCTCTTACATCCGCGCTGTATCGATATGCCGGTAGCCTACCTTCAATGCCTCGGCCACGGCATCTTCCTGCGCCTCTTTGTCCTATGCAAGTCAGAGGGCATACAGCAATTTGCAATAATTGGAGGAGTCTTAGACCGGGCCACTGTGGTGCCGTTGAGGCACGAGACGAGCTTACCTGCCACGTTCCAAACCCTACGGCTGGGATGTCGGCGCCTGTGTTCAACAGGAACTGTGTTTTTGTGTACCCTACTATTGTTCTGGTCTGGCCGCTGATTTGCCGTGATATTCCCCGAAGCCTCGATAAGGAGTGTCTGCTACATCGAGAAAGCATCATGGTTGGAAGCGCGTGTGGTGTGTGGATGTGAGAACGAGGGGGACCTCAAACACCGAGGGTTGCGGTTCCGCCTAGATATTCTTCTATGGAGACAACCTCCACTTCGAATACTTATTTCAAAGACAGACCGTGGGAGAAGCTGTGGAGTGTACTTGGGATATAAACAAACTGGAAGCTCACTTGTGGTGTGACGGACTCGAAGCTGGAGAAGCTGGTTCCTGGTTCCTGGTCCCTGATGGTGATGCCGATGCTGATGTCACCAGGGAGCTTCCTCGCTTCCTCGCTTCGTGAGCCACGGCTCGACGGATATCAAATCCGATGTCAACAACAAACACCATTTCATCCGACTTTCAACGTAAATCATCAGTTCTTCTTCTTCAATGCTTTCGTGATGGATCGGTCACCCCAACGCACATCACCACAACTCGATACAGAGAAAAGCCTGTCAAGTGCAAAGGTCTCGTCAGAGATGCACAATCATTTCTCTACTACATTCCCCATAGTAGTCTCGACTCTAGCGGCGGTGGGCAATGCTCATCAAACAAGGCACTAGCTTCTGCGTCTGTCAGGTTCTCCCGCTGGAACTCGACTGCTTGCGGCTGAGAGAACAATGCCATTGTCTCTCCGTCCGACCATCCACGAATCTATGGCCCAACGCTAGAGCGCATACTTCGTCGCTCGACCCAATCAAGGAGCACTGAAAATGGTCCATGCTGGGCGAAGCTCTTCACAGGTCGAATCAAGTCTTCATTCTTTGTACGTTGTCGGGCGAACGCTTGCGGCCATCACTCTGCCCAAGTCACAAGTGCTCATGAGGTAATAAAGGCCTTGGAGCTGAAGTGCCGCCGGCTGAAACCGCCGACTTCTTCGCATCTTTAACCATTGATATCGTTCTTGCAGTTACTGCTCAAGCAGATGGTTGACCAAGGCGCTGAAGAGGTAGCAATTCAGCCAATCTCACGGTTTTCAACTTCGACTTCTCACAGGATGTCCAACGCCCTCCAAAGCCATCCGCCCGTCGTGCCGATGCCGCGTTGGTCCTGCGCAATTGGCTGTGCTAGGGCTGTCATCGCAATCCTGGTCCTGGCCTTTACTGCCGCCTGTACTGGTATTTGGGGCGGATATCCCGCCTTCGGTATTACATTATTCACTGTAAGTTGTACCATCACTACAGGCTGCTGATGGGTTTGAAAGCTGACTTGGTTAAAGGCGTCAGCAACGTTGATTGTCTTTGCCTACTATTTCGTCGCATTGTCTCGCGAGAGAGCGCTCTACAACCGCTGGGCTATTCTCGCCATCGAAGCCTGTGGTACACTCTTGTGGCTGGTCAGCTTTGCACTGCTATCAAGATGGACGAGCTTCTACCACCGTTTCTGGTATGGCAGCGGACAGAGCTATGGCTTCTGGCATGCTCCGTTCAGGCCCTCAGACATGGGTCTTAGTCCAAGGAGCATCGTCAAGAGATATTCGAGCACCAGAAGAGCAGGCGTAGCCCTCGCGGGAACGGCTGCTGGGCTCGGCGGTCTCGAATTGTAAGTTTCATCCCTCCTGAACTACCCGTCGACCGTGAGACGGGCTGACGTCTTGTAACCAGTGTGCTCTTTTGCGTGACCCTGACCCTCTTCGGAATAGCTCTTCATCGCCAGAGAGTGGCTGGAGCCAGCCGGGCTGGAACCACCGCTGCGCCGACTACACCCCCAACACCTGCAGCCGCACCTGCGACGGATGGCGAAAAGGTGGAAGAGACGACGCTGAACAAACCCGGGCCAGTGGTGGTTTGAGCAGATTTCGTCCATGCTTAAAGAGAGTGGAAATCGAGTCAGTCGTCGCTTGGCAATAGAGATAGGTTGGGGAAGAGTGTGGTTGGTAGTTCCGTAGCTAAAGCATGAGCTTTATTTGGAGGACAGTAATATATATGCCTTGATAGCAAAAACGCGCATCTCAATCTCCAAGATGGAAGCCCGCTCGCTTGTTCATCCGGATCTCGTCTCGGACATGATGGGGAACATGCGGAGTCGAACGGAGACGGCTGGAAATGATCGGACGACAGCCTCTTGAGAATGGTTGATTACATCTTCGCCGTGTTCGGTTGGCAACTTTCTCCTTCTCTTTCAGATTATTACTATAACCCAGGCAGTCAAGCGAAAGGAGCCAGATTAGGCTCCCGGCTGTGATCTTGTATGGTTCGGATAGCACTCGCAACTGCCAGCGAGCACAGGCACCCTCTTATGGTTGAGGTCTAGTCGATTATGTTGGTAACTTGGTGTAGATAAGCATATCTGTCAGTATGCTGTGTGAAAATCGCCCACAGTTTAGCTTTCTCTCACAAGGTCATGGGATGATTATACATCTCAAACATCATCCATCTCCTCGTCAATTCGGTCAATCACCATCAGATCCTCGTTTTCGAGGGCCCTTGAGGAGGGATCTTCAGTCATATCAACATCCGGGCAGTAGGGCGGCATCCCGCTGACTTTCTCCCAGCTGTTACTTCCGTGAGAACCAATTGACATTGCAGTCGAACTGTTACTGGTTTTGGTCCAAGTTGAAAGCATCGACTTGGGCCGGCGCAGGCGATCCCTGATTTCGAGCATTTGTGCGAGCGTTCGCTTGGTATCCCGGCTCAGGGAAGACCGAATGCTGTTAATTGACGAATGAAAAGAGCCTGCTATACTGTTCCGTGAAATGCTGTCTCCAAGTATATGAACTGATGAATAGGCCAACAAATCAGACTCTGAGAACGACGTGCGGGCGATTCTTAGTGAAGACTTGCGCGTTCGAAAAGCCGCTACAATGTATTCCTTCACTAAGACCGAGCTTGCTCCGTTGATTGCTTCTGGACCTTTCGGCGCAGTGGGAATATCGTCCATCCGTGAAAAGGTAGACTCTAACGATGTCAGGACCCCGTGCAGGCCAGTTGTTGATCGAGGCATTGATCTCACCCTGGAGATAATCACCGACCCGAGACCCTAAAAGTCGACGCCTAGTCTTCTCGGCTCCGGAGCGCAAGAAACCTTCGCTGATCGCTGCCATTGCCAGTAATGTGTCAAGCTTTAACGGCTTGACCCCATGTGGGCATAGCGGCACATGACATATTTGATTCTGTATTCTGGACAAGCGAGTCGAAGGAGGAGACGGCAAGGACGCAGGAGCATATAAAACCCAGGCTGCAGATACTGGGGACCAAGCAGCAATAGGCGAGCAAATGCCGGCTTTATTAAGAGTGCGCCTATTCCTCTCGACGAAAGATTTGCACCATTCGAGTATCGTCCTCATTGCGATCCTGACTTCTTCACAATCAGACAGATGTTCATGATATTCCGCTTGCAGTTCGAGACACCGTGATGACATATGCGAAGTACCGCTTGGTAGCCCGTCTCTTAGCATTTCCTTCAGAGAACCTGCCAGAGAACTTGTTATAAAGATGTGTTCGCGATCTTGGACTTCAGGCAGAATGACCGCGAAGCGTTCTCCAAAGCAGCTGACAGCCATGTCAAGCGCAGAGAACTTTGGATTCTCCGACAAATATGAGAGATAGAGATTGAGTAAAGTCATGTCAAGTTTGTATGCGAAGCCATACACCTGCAGTAGGGCTTGGACATTTACCTACGCTTGGTATGCCATTTCTCCCCGGCGGCGGGGTCTAGAGTTTCGGGCGCAATTGATGGCTACTGTGACCATGCACTGCGCGGAGCTGTCGATTGGCGTAGCCAATAGGGGGTATAATATCTCGTCAGTCCAGATATTGCTTGTGCAAACCTGCCAATATTTGTGCTCGGCATAACACAAATCGAAGGCATCATCGAAAAGACCAGCAGCAGCGAGGGTGGCAGCGACTCCTTGGATCTCGCACACATCTGATGCTGAGAGAGTCCGCGGGTCCTGAAAAACCGGCCAGAGAGGAAGCAGCGAGCAAGAGAACACCTCTGCATTCGATATGTTCGTGACAAATGGTACCACCATAGATCCTGGCTCAGACTCAGAGTTCCGGGAACTGTTGTGGGGACTTGATTGTGAGGACGAAGCTTGGTCCACTAAGCGAGCGGGGACCTCATCACCGAGCTTCCTGTTGGTTATCGACGCATCGTCTGTTGAAGCAGTCTCCGCGGGTGTCAGAAGTGGAGTCGAAGAGATCTGCGATGATCGCCTCTCATAACGACCGCTGTTGACATTTGAACGTTTGGATGGAGAGGAAATAATGTCGGGCGGATTGATATAAGGAGCGCCTGTCGGCCGCATAGGAGACATTTCCAATGAGTTTCTGGTAAGAGAATTGGCTTTTGGTCCAATTCGCGCGGCCGGTTGCTCGACTTCTAAGCCTCCATGAGGTGAGGGGCTCTGTTCCGCTGGTATCATCTTGTCTGCTGTCTCTCTGAATGTGTAGTCATGTCGCATCCTGAAGGAGCCCCGCTGAGGTAGTGATTGGGGGTTGCCTGTGAGCTCGGAGCCGTAGCGTTGTCAGGCTTGACGACCGATGAATGATCTGATATAACGTAGTGTTCGACGGAGCTGCCGTTCTCAAGATTGGTCCCTATAATAGCGCCAGTTGAAGCCATTGGCAGATCTGCAAATGTCGCCTCGTCTGTGTGCGCATTCAGACCCATCTTTCCATTCGGCGCCTCAGCTGGGAATATTTGACTGGGTTAGTTTGCATCTGGAAGTCAGCGATTTGACGTACGAAGGCTCAAAGTCCATGCCCTTCAATACTTCCCGTATTTTCGGCTTCCAGAACCTTTCATGATGAAGTGTAGTGATCTCCTTCCGAAACTTTTCCCAGGTGGCATTTGGGATGCGGGGGGCATTGCCTCGCTTGTGGGGGTCATATAGGCGTGGAGGCTTTGGTAAAGACATATCGATCGTAAGAGCGACTGTGAGGTCGTATCAGGATTACGGCAAGCACTTCAGGCAAAATCGAAGTCAGGTTGAAGATATGTTGTTCGCCGAGGACTCGCCGCGGAGCAGTCCTCTACTTGCGTGAGAGACCAAGGCGAGAACAGCCAGCTTTTCAAAAAGGAGGAGAGAAGAGGAAAGAGGAAGAAATGGTAACCGTTAGCTATGATATGACGAGCTACAGCTGACCAGTGCCCGACTACCGTGCGAGGCGTGATCAGACCTTGACGGAAGATGCAGACGCTGAGACAACGACAGTTGGGGGCAAGGCTGATGGGGCTGGTAGGTGTGTTAATTGGATCTACACGTGGCCCCGAATTGTCTTTTCCTCAAAGAAGTTTAGAGGAGATTTCGGATTCACGTACCAAGTAACGAGTGGCTGAGGTCATTCCATCTCATCGTTCCTGCGGTGCCTGAAACCACAAACCTAGCGTCTTACCACAATCTCAAGCGAAGGCGAGCAATGCGACCTTCGAGGTCTGGTGAACTCGGCTAAGGCCTGGTGGCCCGAACTCCACCAATGATCTGGACCTTCTGTACAGTATTGAGTCAAGGGGTAGCACGGAGGTACCTGGGCCTCTCCAGGGCGGAAGAACAGGAAACGAGCTTCTGCGACCAAGGTCAACACGCCTTAGTTTCTCCATCTCCAGATGTCATTATTGGTTTGAGTATAACAAAGCTCCGTCCAAGCCATGGAACCAACCTCGGGCTGGGTTCCCCTCCCTCGTGTACAATCGCAAATCGAGTTGGTGGACTGTTGGACTATACACTTATCCCGATGTTGGGATGCACAAGTTTACCAGCAATCACCAGTTGTACGTTGTCTGGGAACATGAACCGTCATCCTTATGCTACAGACACGAACAAGTTGCAGCGGCACTGCCGAAAGAAGTAATTGACAATGGGCTCCCTCATGCTATCGTTGCCGCAGCTATAAAGGACAGCATTTCAAGATGGCAGAGCAGTGGGCAAGCTCACAAACTCCTCGACAGTCCATTCCAGCTTGGCTCGTCAGGTGCCTTTATATCGCCCTATTACGCTCCTTCGTCGGGCAAGCCAGTTGCACTCTCGAATCAAAAAATTGTCTCAAAGAGTGTACTCTATTGATTCAAAGCCAGTCGCCTTCACTGGCAGTCGGCAGGTGCTCCGGTATGGGGAATATTTGCAGGTCAGTCCTTTCCTGACGGAACACTACAACCAGGAATGACCAAAGAAGACCTTCTACGCATGGGCAAGCACCTCCAAATCATCGACGTTGCCCAATATCCCGCTCAGATTGCTGAGGGAAACGCACAACTCGTCAACCATCCTCTGAACGGCTCCAGCCCCGAGGAAGCAGAAAAGTGGAAGCATATCGAGCGAGCAAGAATGAACGATGGCGAGATAAGGTCGGCCAAGGATGACACGCCATGGCATGCTATCGCAGCAGTCAAGAAGGAAGTTCCCAAGAAGCATGCCAGCTAGGCAGTGGGTGGTGGAGGAAGTATCACCATCTGATGGGCGAGAAGGAAGGCTTATAGCGGTTAGATAGTGACTGAAGCTGTGGAACTATGGATGCCGTTTGCATGTACTATGTACAAGACATATAGGAACTAGCACAACCAGTCGTTTCTGTTTCAACGCCCGTCGCTTCCTAAAATTCTTCCATTCAGTTCTCCAGACATCGTCTTCGTCGCTTATGTGGTGACAGGGAGACTGGGAACACTCAACCACTGCTTTACATCGCCAAAAGGCTGACCAAGACTGCCCTTTGGGAATGTGTTTCTCGTACATGTGGTCGACCACTTCAGAGCCTCGTTCAAACTGCTTCAACCTCTTAGCAGCCGGAAGACCGTCATCGGTGAAACACCAACCAAGGAATCCTGCGCCGATCGACGCGTGGCAGTATTCACGGGATGCGTATGACTGTGGTGTCATCGAGACAAGATGATCACCGGCATGTCCATCCCACTCCGGATCACCCGCAAACCAATTGAAACAGAGCAAACAGCATCGAACTCGGCCCAGCTTTCCCACCTTAGCCGTGAAGTATTTGCGGCGATGGTGTGGATACGGCAGACACACTCCTCTTCGCCCGGACAGCATTAGTTGGTATACTGGACAGGCCCCGTTGACAGGCTCCTCTCGCGGCCGATACGTAACCTCAAAGTACCTCTAGCAGAGAAAGGTGAGATCGGCCATATCGACAGCATCTGTTCACGGATGTAAGGTGTGCTGGACTTGATTGACCATGCAAGCCGTGCTCGCTTTGGCATGACTTAGAATAGCGCTTTAGGGCCGTGAGTCGCTGATTTTTTGTTATATGAGATCCTTCCTCCGGTGCGGATAATATGGTCATAGCATTCGCCAAGACACTGTTCCTTCCAGCGTGCCTTTGCTTGCGTGTCAACCCAACGTTGATATGCCCTAAATTTCAGCCTTGCTTCCCTGACATCGCGAAAGGTCGTGCCTCGCTTCCGACGACTCAAGAGTTTTTGGTACAACTTGTTGGTCGTTGGTTCATCTAGTGCGTCGTCTATCCCATTTGCAGGCAGTTTCTGTCGCAGGCCTTTGGTTCGCTTGGTACGCACGCTCCGCAGTTTGCCTGACATAGTCGTCATGAGGTTTTTCAGCTTCATCACGAAAAAAAACTGCTCCGTAGAGGCGCACGACGCAGATTTGGATCATATTCCCGGTAGGCCACGTTAGACGCGGTCTAACCAAAGACGTTATCCTGCTCACCGGGTGTGGCCGTCTCTACTCAGCGGAAGAAAGCTCGGGTTAGTTACGTGGAGTCGGTAGGGGTATGGCTTCTCACACTATTAACCACGTTCGCGACTGGTCGCCGCAAAGAATGAATTGTGAGATTCTCCTAAGTAACCTTCATCAAGAACGATCCGCTGAAAACAGTGTCGGGAGTGAAAGCGTCATGCATCCTGCCAGAGACACTGCCATGTCGTCTCAGGACGGGTATTTTCAGCCTCTGAGGGACGTCCTTTTGTAATTAAAGAAAATCATCGCCCTCCGGCACTTGGAAGTTTTTGAGCTCGTGAGGGGGCTGAGTCCCGATGAGTCCCTCGTCCTAGAAGCCAAGGGAGAGAAGAAATGCTGTGATGTCGAAAATGAGTTTCCCGTGCTCGTAAGTTGGGACTTCGTTCGTACAGTGGCATCAGCTTGTTCTAGCGGCTTTCGCATCGGGGAGGAGTATAGTGTACGCTTTATGCTCGGCATGCGTGTTGTTCTTACACCAACTTTGTACGAGCTTTATAACGTGTTCCCTACGTCTATCAGGGAGAGGGAAAGGTAAATATGGACATCCTATGCCAAGGTATCAGCCTCAGATCAGTCATTGGGATTGACACAGTGGAAGATTCTCCCTTATCTTCCCACGTCGACCCTTTGAAAACCAACTTATTCACCTGGCCATCAGGTCTCTTCACCTCCGCCACTCCATTCTCCAGGTACGTGCCCACACGGGCTCTCATGAAACAGCATGCCAGAATCAGAAAGGTCATCTGGGTCCGCATGCATTCAGGCAAAAAGATGGAGTCATCTTCCGTCCACATGGTGATGATAATATTCGCAGATCATTGACATTAGAGAGACAATTTTCACGCTTTTGAGGGACAGAGTTACCCTGCCTGAGTGAAACATTGTGTTGACGGGACATGGACCAAATGGATCAGTGACCGTCGCTATTCCCACCCCGGCCCATACAGAAAGTCGGCCTTGCGCAGCCTCGGTTGGAAGGTCGATTCTCGGTGGATTCAGGACTGGGAGGGCATCTCGGACGCATTCCATGGCTCGCGGACCGAGCTTCGCCCTCTGCAAATTTGCATATAGATTCAGCGAGCTCTCTGGACTCTGGCGTGCAGACAGACACACACAGACAATCAATGCAACTTTTTCCACGATAGTTCTTTCCCTCCTACAGCTCGAGTTCGATATCGAAATTCACCGTTGCAGAATTTGATGAACATTATAAAACTCGAAGCAGCTATGTTCGACAAAATTGCGATCGCTTTGCAGGCTTTTCCAGTCGGGGTGACGAGCAGTAACACTGAATCCGCACAATCCCCTTATCAGCCAGCGATTCTGCTAAAAGAACTCAGAGCAGGTGGTGTCGCCGGTCTCGTCCTCCTTCAAGCAGTTTTTCCTATCGTCAAAATGTACTCTTAATTTGCAGGCTGCATATTCTAACCGATTGCCACAGCACTCTCCAAGATATCCCATGCATTGCAGGGTACCAAAATGGGCCTGAGCGTGGGTGACGAGAATAAAAGCACCAATTTGGGTAGAGCGGCATTCGGCCTGAGGAGTTCAAGGTGAGGCACAGTGTAGGTGCCAGAGCGATGACCAGGGGTATCCTGTTGTGAGGTATAGGAGCGCAGGTGCCAGCTATCTATAGATACTCGGTACAGCCGGGCCAAAGAGGTCACGTGAAATCACGTGGTGCCTAGGGCTACTACGTCGGGCCCAATTCGAGCCTTATTCACATCAGGCGCCGGCAGAGTGGTAAGGCCGTGGTCACAAAAGAGGGCACTATCCGCCACCCAACAAGCATTAGAGAGTTTGGTAGTGCTGAAACTATTTTGCACCGATAAGAGAAGCAGTGCAGCTCTCCGAAGCAATTAATTCGATGCATTGTTTGGTACCAGGGAATCAAGAGTGCCATGCTCGGTACCTCTTACCGACCTCGCCAAGTCTCGTCCCTGGACAAGGCGGAGATGATCGGATATAATCTGAGGGAGATGTCCGGAGATCATCGGACGGCAGCCTCTTGGCAATGGCTGACTACATCCAAGCTACATCCTCGGTGGGTTTCAACTGGCAGCTTTCTCCATCCCTTTCTTATTCCCTACCAAGTAGACACTGCACGCAGCCCTGTGGGCATTGTAAATTGTCATGCGTTGACCGTGATTCGACAGCAGTTAATGCCTTTACGACAATATGTGGATCTCCCTCTGGTCCAGATCTCCATGCGGTGCGGAGGTCTAATCTTTTCTCTTTCTCTGTTCTCGACTTTTGCTTACCCACTTCAGCCCTCTCAAGTCGTTTTTTGCTCCTCTGCCGTTTCACTCAGTTCTACTGATATGCGCGTAAAGATGAATCTGTGGTTTGAAATGGGCTGGCAACACCGCCCTTTATATTCTTGCTCAGTCAGTTCCCGAGTGCCTTCTCTTCTTCACAACTCCCCGTCTTTTGCTCAGGCTTGTACATTCCTTTGCCTCCCAGGATGGATATAAACGGTTCTCAGAATGTCGAAACAAAGACTCCAGACACATATCCTCTCGACTGTGAAACTGTGGACCTTCCGCCACCAGAAATAGTTCACACTGAGCCTGATGTTGAAGAATCGATGGATGCAAGAATCGAAAGACTCGGACGCGAACGGCCCCCGGCATTCAACTCAATGTGGTCTGAGATCGCGTTCGTGTTCAGCGTAATCATGTCCCAGATCATAACGGAGTATTTTGTGTCTGGCTTCAATGTCATATTACCTACGCTTATTGAACAACTCCGGATACCCCAATCATCCAGTGTCTGGCCAGCTACAGCATTCTCCCTAGTCATTGCGAGCATGCTCTTGGTTTTTGGCAGGCTTGGTGACATGGTTGGGGGCTTTCCGGTCTACATCGCCGGTTTGTTCTGGCTGTTTATTTGGAGTATTGTCTGTGGCTTCAGTACTTCTCCTCTGATGATGGACTTCTGCCGAGCGCTACAAGGTCTTGGGGCCGCTGCCTACCTGCCAACCGGAGTTATGCTGATGGGGAGTGCCTATCGACCCGGGCCGCGCAAGAACCTCGTCTTCGCTTTATATGGGACCTTCGCTGTCGTCGGATTCTTCGTGGGGATATTCTGTGCAGGAATCGTCGGCCAGTTTTTGGACTGGGGTTGGTTCTTCTGGATTGGGGCCATCCTTGCTGCCATAACCACCATGACATCGATTCTGTCTATACCCAACGACTGGAAAGAACGACGCAAGTATAACATTCCCATGGATTGGCTCGGGACCGTGACGATCGTCCCGGGACTGGTTCTTGTCGTTTTTGCGATTACTGAATCAGCTCATGCCGAACGGCGGTGGCAGGCGCCTTATATCCCGACATTGTTTTGCATTGGATGCGCGCTACTTTTGGCCGCATCATATGTGGAAGGCTGGAAAGCCAAGTTTCCCCTGTTACCTGGTGACATCTTCACCGTCCCGTGCATGGTACAGCTCGTGGTTGCCATGCTATTTCTCTACGGCAATATCGGCATCCTTTTGCTTTACGGTACACTGTATTTCCAGAACATCATGGGCGCCACGCCTATGCAGGTCGTCGCATGGTGGACGCCAATGGTGATTGGGGGAGTCATCTTGAGTACCATGGAAGGATTCATCCTGCATCTGGTGTCGGGCCGTCTGCTCTTAATTGTCTCCTGCCTCGGAGCCATTGGATCTCAGCTGCTTCTTGCTCGGATTCCAGAGGGCGGAAACTATT